CCCCGCGCAGGCGGCGAGGGATCCCCCGACCCTTCCCCCCCATATAAAGAGATACAATGTTTCCTTTTATGGCGAGGCCGCTCCTTATATGGTGAGCCCCTAAGCCCCCGCCCCATTGGTCCATCGTTCCGGCACCTCCGCTCTCCATTGGTCCACAGGGGGCGCCTATTTGCATAAACATCCCGAACTCGCTGCAGTCCTCGGGCGTCAGACCGCGACTCCGAAAGGGGCGGAGCCGACGCCTCTTAAAGGAAAGGGAGAGGCGGTGCGACTCCACCCCCAGGACACAGTGTGGTAGGAGACTGGGCGGGGCCTGCGGAGAGGAGCCCTAGCAGGGACTGGAGCGCGGTCCTGCGGCGGAGCGGGAGCACGCTGGGAGCCCGGCCCTGGAAAGGCTGGGGACAAGCCCCGGGGTAGTTCCTGAGTGCATTGTGCGGGCCGCAGTAAAGGCTATAACAGCCCAAATTCCGCCGGGGTGCAGGGACTGGAGCATTTACCCCGCCTTCCTCAGGGAGGCAAAGGAACTGGCCGAGTAGCGGGGACTTGGGTCCCTAGTGTCCAGACTGGTCGCCCCATGGCCACTCCGTTCCAACTCTTCCCCCCCACCCTCCGACTTCCTTTTTCTTTCTCTTTTCAAGGCGACACTTTCCCACCAGGCCGGCTCTCCAGTCCTCATTCATCATCATCTATACTGGGGGAGGTCTTTGGCAGACGTACATCTGGAAAAGACCGGGGAGATAGTCTGCCTCCCCGATGGGGGCAGGGAGGAGAGATGGAGATCAGTGAAGACTTCCAGCTGCGGGATGGGATGGGGAGGGGGTGGTCCCAGGAAAAAGCCCACCCCTCAGCCAGTGCAGAGGCCTGGGAAAAAGAGTAGCCGAGAAGAAAGTTTAAGCCAGACACACACACACACACACACACACTCACGCCCTTCTCTGCAAAGCCCATAGGAGAAGAAAAGTTAGAACTAGGGTGCTGCAAGGCCAGGTCCAGGGTCTCGTTCTGGGCCTTAGCTCCAAAGAGCCGTGAAAATAGCTTCAGCTTTGCTGTTATATAAATTTTTCAAATCTGGAATCTTTCTCTTCTTAGCCGTGTGCCAGAAACAAGTGTCTGGCCTCTCCAAGCTTCCTAGTCCTCATTGTTGGTCCCCATCCCATGAGGTTCTTACTCCAGATTAAATGAGATAAAGACTAAAGCACAAAGGAAGGGGTAGTTAATAGGCGCTACCTGGGACAATCCCGGCATCCCTGAGGTGAACATCCTCTGTGTGCCATAGGGTGGGAGAGGGTGATGATTCCCACCTTAAGAAGCTGTGAGGATTAAGAGGTGATGAATGAAACCAGTTTAGTGTGCTGCAACCAGCATTTAAAGTAAATGAGTATCACAAGCAGCAAGGGTAAGATATTGCTGCATGAAACTTTTGTTCCCATTATTTGGGGGTTGAACCATATAAAATTTCCCTTTTATAGGTCAAGAAAGCGGGATAGCATCATTCATATGGTTCAACACGTGTGTGCTGGATGACGTCAACAGCTTATCTTACTGTGTCCCAGTCCCAAAATTGAGAAATACTGAGATAAGTATGTTCAAGTGTTTTTGTGAGCTATGTGTGTATATACATATACATACACACCTATTTTAAAAACATGGACTCGTTCATCGAACCTCTAAATAAAGGAATTAAGAGCCCTCCTGTTTCCCTTTTCCCAGTAGTTTTAAAGAGCGCTTTTTTCTTTTCTTAGTTTAGTCTACACAACAGGCAGTTAAACATATGGAATGTGTTAGTTCAAGAGGAAGAACAGGTCAAATAGATAAATAGGTTACAGAAGGGCTTCAGAGCCACAGATGGTGCTTGGGACTGCGATGTGAGCAACAGTTCTACAATCACAGCCCTGTGGTCCAATCCTGCCTGACTTCTAGACTGTTCTGTGTGAGACCCCTAGTTTCAACACAGCAGTGGCAGCGGCACCCCAGAAGACAACCGCTGCCGGCCATCTCCACTGGGTAGCCCACACCCACACTCTGTTGGCTTATTGCGGGTTCAGAAACTAAAACTGTTGATGTAGATGAAGTCAGTAAAAAGACTGATTCAGCCCTAGCAGGTTTGGCTCAGTGGATGGAGCGTCAGCCTGCAGATCAGGCCAAAGGGTCCCAGGTTTAATTCCGGTCAAGGGCACGTGCCCAGGTTTTAGGCTTCTCCTCAGCCCGGGGCCTGGTCAGTGCTCATGCAGGAGGCAACCAATCTATGTGTTTCTCTCATATCGATGTTTCTCTCTGTCTTTCCCTCTCTCTTTCACTCTCCTTAAAAATCAAGGGAAAAACATCCTTGGGTGAGGCTTAAACACAAACACAAACACACACTCACACACACACACACACACACACACTGGTTCATAGACGTATTTTACTTTATTTTTTAAACTAGAGGCGTGGTGCATGAAATTAATGCATGGGTAGGGTTCCTGGGCCTGGCTGGCATCAGGGCTGATCAGATTCCCCGCCTTCCCTTGCCACCCTCAGGCGGTTGTGTTCCACGCCACCCCCTGGTGGCCAGCGCACATCATAGTGTGCACTCAAACTCCCTATCTTCCGGTCGAACTCCCAAGGGGACACTTTGCATATTAGCTTTTTATATATACTAGTATAGATTACAACTTACTTTCAGTATTACTTTGTGTTAGTTTCAGGTGTACAACATAGTAGTTAGACAATCACCTACTTTACATAGTGGTCACGCCACCCCCTGGTGGCCAGCGCACATCATAGTGTGCACTCAAACTCCCTATCTTCCGGTCGAACTCCCAAGGGGACACTTTGCATATTAGCTTTTTATATATACTAGTATAG